ATTGAACCTTTCTTGATCGATTGATGATGACTTTGTTCATATCTTGGTATATGGTGAATTTGTAAAGTATCGTAAATGACAGTACGTCTCACGCCTGTTAAGAAAATAGGCATTGTGTGATAATGTGTAAAAATCGAATGGCATATGGTGAATTTGAAAAAAGTTGGTGGTATTTGGTGAATTTTGTTAAAACTCAGTGGTATTTCGTGAAAAATCCGTTATATATATTCTCTCCATGGATGGTTGATATGATTCCCTTTCTCTTGGTCTTGGTACTTATTCTCGTTTCATAGCTTTTGATTAGACAAACACATAAAAAACCTTCATTTTCTCCTCTCAAATTCGTTTTTGGGAAATATTTTGCGCTCCATTCATGTTTGTGAGTGAACACAAATTCGAAGTCGTATCAATACTAGACGGCAACTGCTTAGCTTGACGTTTACTGCATTGAGGTAGCGCAGAATTGTCTTTTATGGAAATGATCACCATGTTGCGACATTTGCTTGTTTGGTTCATCGTAACATTAGGAAAATTACATTCTATTTTTGTTAATTTCATAACAATAGTGAGTATGGTAAATATAAATTTATAATGTTGGTCCCTTTGTCATTTATGGTAATGTGTTGATTATTCTAAACAACCAAAAGAAAAGTATTTCAATTATTTCGAGACGATGAGAGTCCTAGCTATTTTGAAGATTACACACACCTTTTTTTAATGATCTAATCCTCTTGTATGTAAAGTAGTTGTACATGTGTATATAAGATATTGTTGAGTTTAGTTTAATGTACATTTTCAGAAGGACGAATAATAAAAATAAATAATTGTCAAGTATGTAGGGATAGAGGGATTATAATATTAGATAAGTCTAGCTAGTATGACTAGCATGCATAAGAATATTTAGTAAAAATCATAAATTCATAATAGATGGCTAGCTTACTACCTATGAGCTAAAAATTGTAAAAATACAAATGTTTCAATACAACTCGACCTGCGTGTTTTGCCACAAGGATCAAGAAACGCGAGATCACCTGTTTCGGGATTGTTCATTTACTTCAGGGCTTCTGCTCCGACTGCCTCTTCGGTTCAGCTCATGCATGACAAGCCATTTATTGATTGGTTTGCGACACGGTCTTAGACTTTCGGGATGGTTTGGTTTCATTTGTTTCCTTCTGCTAGGCTGTTTGGTTGGCACATAATCATAACATCTTTTGCTAAGTTGTGTTGTCTCCAGCTGTGATCTTTCATATGATGCAGGACTGGATTTCTAGGAGTTCATCCGCTCGGGAATTTGGTTCGCTTATTTACTCTTATGTGAGACCTCCTCATGGAGTCTTGGTAAACTCTGTATCTTGTTGTCTAAAAGGTTTCCCTCACTTCTACTTTCGACGTCTGCTTAATTTTTGATGGGGCCTAAAATGTTCAGGATGGCAGTGCAGGGGTAGGTTGGATCTTTTGAGATGTTTGTTCAGACTTTGTGATAGGCGGTGGTTCTCGGGCTTTAATTTGTTCTTCAGCTCTCCATTCTAAGTTACCAGCTTGTTAATGGGCCCTTTGAGCTGCAGATCGTCGTGGTTTCAGGCGTTTGCTAATCTAAACTAATTGCTCGATTTTATTTATACTTCTTTGGGATAGAAGTGATCAAGATATATTTCCTGCCTGTGGCTCCTTCAAGATATTAGGACTTTGCTTTTGCAATTTTCTGCTTGTGAGCTTCGCAAGGTTCCTCGTCAGTGGATTATTCCGTCCCACTGGTTGGCGGTTCAGGCTCGTCGTCAGCGTGTGCTTTTATGGTCCTTTTAGTCTTTAGTTCTTGTTTGTTTGTTTTTTTTTTGTTATTTTTGTTATTTTTGTTAGAACTTCTTGTCAATAATATATATATATATATATATATATATATATATATATATATATATACTTGCTTGTGTAGTTGTGCAATGCCTGTCTTATATTTAACTAGTATAGTACCCGTGCAATTGCACGGTATAATAAGTTTATATTAGAGATGGTTATTGGGTAGGTAGCCCAATGATAATAGGCTCAAGGCAAGCTTAAAGGGCTTTTAATGGACATGGCATTTAATGGATAGTAGATCCTTTATTGGGTAAGGTTAATATAGGACAAAATATTTTTCCAATTTAATAGACAAACAAAATAATATTGTAAATGTAATTACATAAATAAATTTGATTAATATATACTTAATAATGGTTTTGTTTAATATTTATTTTAATTGATATTTTATTGGACCGTCCATTATTGATCCACTATTGACATGCGACCTGCATTGGCCCGACCCGCTATTGACCTTATATAATGTAACCCTTTTTGACCCGACCCGCAGTCAACCAGGTCTAGTTTATATTTATAATTTACTTGTCAAATTAATTTTTTAATAATGATGAAGTGGAAATCAAAAGTTACACTCTAACATATATAACTCCTAGAAATATCATAGCATGATTTAACGTTGTTATATGCATAATTATTGTAATTTTATTTTACTTATTAAATTATTTATAGACTTAAAATTAGGAATGACAAGTGGGTATAAAAATGTAAGTTCCGCATATCACCGGTCAGAGTTAGAGCGGGTACGGGTCCAACTTTAACGGATAAGTAGGCGGGTATGGGTACAAAAGTCATACCCACCGTAGGTAGTGGATAAGCGGCGAATTTGATGTCATAGCCCCCCTATTACCCGCCTATTCACCAGTTAAACACCTACCTGCCCAAGCAACCTGTCGACTTATTACTGCCACTAATTTTTTAATTAATTCTTTTTGTATTTGTAACCATGAAGGACTACTTATATACAAATTGACTTGTTTCAATATATATATATATATATATATATATAAATTGACTACTTACTTATATAATATATTATTAAAGTATTTATTTACAACAATTAAAAGATAGCATAATGACATGTTGTTCTATAGGAAATTTATCAAACAAATTTTGTTAGGTTAGCGGATAATAGGTAACAGGGTAATGGATATCAAAATTTTACCCATTTCAAAATTTTACCCATTGCGGGTGTCAGGTAGGTAGGTAGGTAGGTCACATGGTATAAAAAAAATTTGGCAGATGCGAATACAGGGGTTAGGGTACACCACCCAATTGTCATCCCTACTTTTGGGAAAATATTTAAGTAGCATTTGTTTCATACTACCTCTGTATTTTTTTTTTTGTTATATTCACTTACGTTTGTGAAGATGAGATATCCAACGTTAATATTTCACCAAATATTGTAAGCATGTATGAATGTATGTAAATTTGATATTTTGATATATGGATAATATTGAGTATACATTAAAATGATTATAGTAAGCTATACATGAAAATTTTGTTGTATATAAATAGCAAACGATGACCATATTTTTTTAGTTTGATCCCATAAATAAAACGATGGCCATAAGTATACAAGTTTATATTATAATTGCGTATTATCCTTTTCATAAATATCTAGATTGGCAAAAATATTATATAAGATCAATAATCATTATTCTAGTATATATATTCTAATATCAAAACTATATTCATGTTATAATAATTAACTATCGTGTGTAATGATATTTAATTTTGACAAATTTATTTGATATGTTGATTTTTTATGTTAAGAATAATAATGAACTACTATGTACATATATATACAACTTAAATTATTCAATTGGTCTTGTATGGACCCAGTCTACAATAAATTATTGTAGACCTAAAATTTGACACTTTCAAATAATATAATCACATTCTGGATGATATAATTACTTTTTAGATGATATAATTATCTTTTTGTGAGTCACATTTTGAATTATATAATCTCATATTAAACCATTTAATGAGATTATATAATTATCTTTAGGATGATAAAATTTAAAAATCATCTTTTGAATGATGTAATTTACTATTTGATACTTTTTATAATGATAAATTCACTTTTTGAGTGATACATTTACATAACAATTTCAGGATGATATAATCACTTTTGTAGTAATATAATCACATTTCGTATGATATAATCACATTCGTATGGTATACTAGAAGGTTGGGTCTACAATAAGTTATTGTAGACCGGGTCTATTCTAGTTTTTACCTAAGCTATTTAGAATTGCGACCGGTGGTCGCAAAAAAAAAATTGTGTCCACTTGGCGGTCGCAGATAAAATTGCGACCGTTTTTCGTATTTTCAACGACCATTTTTTAAACTGACGTAATTGGTTATTTGCGACAGGCAACGCAGTCACAATTGTTCAAAATTATGACCGCCTAAGACGGTCGCAAAATCCTGTGATCTGCGACAGGCCCTGACGGCCGCAATAGTCAGAATATTACGACCGCCTAAGACGGTCGCAAAATCATGGGATCTGCGACAGGGTCATGGCGGTCGCAATATTTAGAATATTACGACAGGTAGGTAAATGGTCACAATTCCTCAGAGAATTGCGACTGTGCTGGGCGGTCGCAATTGATTAAGTCAGCGACAGGTTTAGACGGTCGCAATTTATTAAATCTGCGACAGGTAAAGACGGTCGCAAATATGATATTATTATAATGCAATTTTCATATAACTACAATTTGCATTATCGATGCCATCCTAACCTGAACCTATAACCTGTTATCATGTGAATTAATTTCAAAATTAATATAAAATAAAAATAAAATGGCCTTCTAACTTACCCATTTTTTTTTGTTTATGATATATTCTAAGATTTTATCAATCAAACAACTCATATTTAGCATATTAAACATGTTTATAGGTTCAAATTGCAAAAACTTCCACATTTTCATGCATGCATATTCATGGCTATAGGTTCATGACTAGGCTAAAATGGCTTAAATGACCTTCTAACTTACCCATTTTCTTTGTTTATGCTATATTCTAAGATTTTATCAATCAAAAAACTCATATTTAGCATATTAAACATTTTTATAGGTTCAAATTGGTTAATCATAGACATTTTCAAGCATTTACAAGGCTATAGGTTCACAACTTGGCTAAAATGGCCTTCGTTCTAACTTACCCATTTTCTTTGTTTTTGATATATTCTACGATTTTATCAATCAAAAAACTCATATTTAGCATACAAAACATGTTTATAGGTTCAAATTAGTTAATCATAGACATTTTCAAGCATTTACAAGGCTATAGGTTCACAACTTGGCTAAAATGGCTTAATGGCCTTCTAACTTACCCATTTTCTTTGTTTTTGATATATTCTAAGACTTTTTCATTCAAAAAACTCATATTTAGCATACAAAACATGTTTATAGGTTCAAATTGGTTAATCATAGACATTTTCAAGAATTTACAAGGCTATAGGTTCACAACTTGGCTAAAATGGCTTAAATGGCCTTCTAACTTACCCATTTTCTTTGTTTTTGATATATTCTAAGACTTTGTCATTCAAACAACACATTAGTTTCCAAAGTTAGGTTCCTCAAATTTCAATCATAAGTATAAGTGCCTATGTTTTGCTTGCTTACTTAAAAAATAATTTCATTAGTTTTTCAAAGTTAGATGTGTTATCGAGATTTGTTGTGCCCTCTTGTTAGCCGCAACTTTTCCTTTTCCTGGAACTTTCTTGAAATGTGTCTTTAGGAACACCTCATGGGCAGTTGGAAGCACTCCACCGGCTTTCTGAGCCTGCATAAATCAAATAACTCCTTAAATGCTTAGTGTATGTAACTACTAAAATTTATCATTATCATTATATACCATTAAGTATTACCATTTTCTTTGCATGCTTTGATGCAGAGATAGAACCTTGGAAGTGTGACGGCTCAATTGGATTATACAGGGAGTCGCCCCTCCTGTTCTTCTTCGCTTTTTCTGACCTCTCCAGAAAAACCGGATCCTTTCTTTTCTCCATAATTCGCTCAAACATACACTCTCCCATCCATCTGGGAACTGACTTGTTTCTGACCGAAATATTGTATGTAATCTCTTTCAGCCTCTTATGTGCCTTCTTTTCATACTCCTTCTTCAAGAGGGCATCAAGATCAGCATTCCAAAGGTATTGTTTCTACAAACAAGAAAAATAAAATGTATAATAATTTATTGTAATATGTAACCAAAAAACAACAAAGTTAGATGAGTAAACTAAAATTGGGGGTTTTATAATACCGTAAACGAGTTCCACCAATGGGTCTTAGTAACCTTGTCAACCATTTCATAGTTAAGCCATGGTTCGTGCCAATGTGCTTGAAAAATATTTGTAATGGAGGTGCTCACAGTGTTATTATCGAACCTTTGTACCAATAAGTAAACAAATGAAGTCATTACATACAAATCTAACTGTTCAAGTTGGAATGCAAATTAAGATAACCATGAGTAACTTACCATAACCCCGTCAGGTGCAAAGTCCTTCTCGCAACGGGGGTAGGAACCTCACCCATGGGAGAGTTACCGTCTTGCGTCTCAGGAACCTGAGTAGATGTCCCAGAACCACCTACACATGGCTCAGGGGATGGGGTAACTTCCGGAGAAGTTTTCGTATTTGCATGGCTTGTCGACGGAAACAATTCTCTCGGGGTGGCATGTCCCAGCTTCCGACGACCACCACCGGCCATGACAACCTACAATAAGAAAAACATTATGAACATCGGTAAAAATCATATAGCCATGTTATATCACGATCTATAAGCTACTGTCACACATAACCTTGGCTTTGCAAAATATAAATAATAACATATTTACACAAGTATATCACATTGAAACTAGGATGGTCTTTTAAAATAAATTGAAATCCATTAAGATTACATAATTAAAAAGTCAAAACAAGGTTACAATCAATCTCCTAAATCTCAGTTGAATCGTCCTCCCCATCAGCACTAAGATCAGCATCGGTATCGTCATCCCAAAATCCGTCATCCTCATCCTCGTCCTCACTATTAGTAGATTCAAAATTGGACTCGTCTGGAGGGGCATGGGGCAACACTTCATTTTCAGTATCCGAATCTCCAAATCCATCTTCATCACCTTCATAGTCTGGAATGTCATCCGGAGCACAAAGAGTTGGAATGTCAGCACTGGTTTCTTGTAGAAAGTCTTCGTCAACTGGTGCATCAACAACAGACCTCGCCTTTGTCTTGAACACTGCCCGCCATTGAGCCTTGTCTCTTTTCAAACTTGGGTAAGGTGCATAGTAGACTTGGTTTGCTTGGTAAGAAAGCACAAATGGATCGTACTTGGGGTATTTTTTGGTATGATTGACTTCTACAAGCTTGTATTGATCAATGTTCATACCCCTAGTGGAATCCATCCCATTGCACTTGAAAAGAACAGTCTTATAAGTCCCTAGGGCACCAGTGAACTCCAACTCGATGATATCCTCTAGAAACCCAAAATAATCACCACCATCTTCATTGGGTACGCTTACTCCATAATTCATTGTTGACTTATGTTTTCCATGGCCATAAGTTTGGAATTTGTATCCATTCATATAGAATTGGCTCCAAGTACGCACTCGCTTAGATGGGCCCATAGCCAAAGCAAACAATATTTCATCATTTGGCTTTTCTTGATTCACCTGCTCATATGGCATAATTATATTAATAAATTGATATTAGTCGTGAAGTTATAGAAACAAAGTAAGAAAACGTGTTGATGTCAAATGCGTATCATACTCAATTTCAACCTAAACCACTCGAGGAATTCAGCTTCATGTTTAATCCACACATCTTCTTTGCGAATAGTGGGTTGCATTTGAACAATGTGGTCCTCAAACCCCCTTCCATATAACCAGAGAAAGAGTATTAATGAAGGTGGTCGACATTGGATACGATGTAAATTCAATGAAATCTTAGTGAGTGTGATAATTTACAAATTTAATACCTCTCATATGGTTCCAGAATACCGCTATTTCCCAAAACATATAAATGAGCACGTTGTAATTCTTTTTCATCCAAATAGCGACGAACTCCACCAGTAGAAGCATGTCCATGATCAACCATAAAAAGTTCTGGAACATATCATCCAAAGTGCTTTCAACATCATCATGAACATTACGACCTAAGTCCCGTGTTTTGGTATCCACTCCTTGTTGGAAGTAGTTAGAGCAAAAATACCCTATCTCTTCCGTTAGATATGCATTGCATATTGAACCTTCCACACGAGCCTTATTGCCAATTTTACGTTTCAAATGATTAAGGAACCTATAATAAAAAAATATTGAATAAGGTATATGTTATGCAAACAACTATAGCTGTATAAACGAAAATGGCAGCTATGAGTTTGTAGGAGCTAATTAAAACCTTTCAAACGGATACATCCAACGATATTGGACAGGACCACATAACCTAGCTTCATAAGGCAAGTGAACTGGTAAGTGTTCCATAGAGTTGAAGAACGCTGGTGGAAATATCTTCTCGAGCTTACAAAGAATTTCTGCAATGTTGTGTTCCAATCTTTCCATATCACTCAATTTGATGGTGGAACAACAAAGATCACGGAAGAAAAGACTAATCTCAGTAATAGCTTTCCAAACATGGACCGGGAGCAATTCCTTCAAAGCAACTGGCAACAATCTCTCTATGAAGACATGACAGTCGTGGCTCTTTAAACCATGAAGCTTACATGATTGTAAATCTACACATCTACTCAAATTAGAAGCATAACCATCAGGAAATTTCAAGTTCCTTACCCACTCGCATAACACTTTCTTTTGAGCCTTGTCGAGTGAGAATGGGGCTTTCGGCAAAGTGTCTTTGCCTCTCGCATCCTCCGTCACATGTAGTTGTGGTCGTTTGCAATATTTGGCTATGTCATTTCTAGATGCAACTGTGTCTGAAGTATGTTTTTTCACATCCATCACTGTGTGAATTAGTTGCTCAAAGAAATTCTTTTCAATATGCATCACATCGAGGTTGTGGCGGAGGAGAAGAGTCTTCCAGTACGGTAGCTCCCAAAGAACGCTTTGTTTAAACCAACCTAGTTTCTTCTTTTTCAAGCTTGCAAGTGCTTCTGGTCCATCTGTTGTCTTAGCAAAGTGTTGAACTTGTTGCCATAGCTCGTCGCCGGACATTATGTGAGGCGATGTCCCCTTTTCAACCTTGTTCTTACAAAAAGCAATTTTGTTGTTTTGAAAAGGATGTTCGGGAGGAAGAAATTGTCGGTGACAATCAAACCAAGACATTTTACCACCATGTTCAAGCCAAAAAGCTTTTGATTTGTCCAAGCAATATGGACATGCTTTTTTACCAGCTGTTGCCCATCCAGAAAGCATACCATAGGCTGGGAAATAACTTATAGTCCACAAGATTGCTGCACGCAAATTGAAGTTTTTTCTTTCCGAGATGTCATAAGTTGTTGCACCAACATCCCACAGTTCTTTCAATTCTTCAATTAACGGTTGCATATACACATCCAAGTTTCCCTTCAGATTTTTAGGACCAGGAACGAGCAAAGAAAGGAACATAAATGGTTTTTTCATGCACATCGATGGAGGCAAGTTATAAGGGGTCAGAATGACTGACCAACATGAATATTGACCCCCAAACTTGCCATTAGGAGCAAACCCATCGGTACACATACCAAGTCTCACATTTCTAGGTTCAGATGCGAAATCGGGGAAGGATCTATCCAAGTGCTTCCAAGCTTCACTATCACTAGGATGCGCCATTGTGCCTTGGACTCTTAGATTTTTGGAATGCCAAGTCATCTCCTCGGCAACGTTCTTTGTTGCAAACAACCATTGTAGCCTTGGAGTGATTGGAAAATAGATGAGTTTTTTTATTGGAACCAATGACACCTTTGAAGTCCTCTTGTATCTATCCCTTTTGCACACTCTACACTTATCCAACTCAGTATCAGCTTTCCAAAATAACATACAACCCTTTGGGCATGCATGAATCTTCTTGTGTGGAAGCTCAAGTCCGTTAAGAATCTTCTTTGTATCATAGAATGTTTTCCCCATCTTATTATTGTCGGGAATCGCTTCGTTCAGTAATGAAGCAAACCCATCAACGCACCTATGGGGAAAATTGTATTCCAACTTCAGAGATACAATTCGAGATGCCATTTCTAGCACATACATGGAGCTACCTTCGTATAGTGGTTGCTCGACAGCCTTTAAAAGCTCTTGAAATGCTTTTGCTTGAGCATTTGGCTCTTCGTCTGAACCACTAGTACTATCGTCACCTGGTGGTTCATGATTACTCCCAAGAGCATCGAGAACCATTTCACGGTAAGTATTTGGTTGCTCTACACTTGATGTAGGGAACCCTTCACCATGAGAAACCCAGTCATAGTAATCAGGTATAAACCCCTTTTTGTACAAATGGAGTTTTATTGTGTTGGCATCATGAAGACGTCTATTCTTACATATCAGACAAGGGCATCTTACTTCATCTATGCCCGGGCTCTCAGGATGAGCTTCACAAAACCGTATGAATTGTTCAACACCATCCACAAACTCTGGCCTAAGTCTACGAGCATTACCGCCATCGTATCTATCGTACATCCACCAACGCACTTTCCTTTTCATGGTGACAAATTCTACAACACTATGAAAAACAAATCACATTAATCATTCACACTGAACTTGTATTCATTACAATAATGGCATACGATACAATTAGAATCGAAATGATAACCAAAGGTCCTTATCATGACTTGAACAAGAAAGATGATTTCACATTATTCTTTATTAAGAGATTTAAACATATGTTATGTCGCATGCTTCTAACTTGATAAATACTTATAATTTTTACAACATGTTTTCTAAAATACTTATTATTTATAATTTACAATATTGATTAAATTATTTATAACTTACACTAAAAAAATTATATTTATACCATTTCAAAGTAAATTGATGTAACATTAATAAAATAAAAGAAGCAATATGATTTGTATAGTTAACAAAGATGGGTGTTTGATAACAAAAATCAAAATATAAAAATATTTTAAAAAAACAACCACATGTAACCCTTCATGAAAAAACAAAATAATTTACAAAATACTTTATAGAACCATAATACAAATTAATGTTCAAAATATTATCATAACCCCTTAAACATACATATTTCTGATAAAGCCATTGTAATTCAATAAGAATCATTTTTTTTAAAACGAAAACTAAAATTATCCAACACATGAGTTCATACCATCCAATAGTCCTACATTGGACATTAAGCAAAATAAATTTCTATTCCAATCAAAACACATCCAAGTTCTAGCCTACGCACAATAAAGCGTAAAAAATCCAACAATGAACCAAGCTATCAATAGCAAACCTCTTGCTAATACTAAACTGGCCATTTAAGAATCACTAGGAAAACCCGCTTAAACAAGTAGCATATTGACAAAGTAAAGCAATAATAATAAACTGAAATCAAAATGCATCTAATAAGGATGTTTTTTTACAAAATTTTAGATCACAACTCCATAAACAACTAACATAAATATGAATCATATTGCACAATTAAAAGAAGTAGTTAAATAAGAAGGGAAGAAAAACACACAGCGGAGGAGTTGACCAGAAAAGCAGAGGCGGCGACGAAGGTGGTCCTGGTATATGGTGGTGTTACACTTTTAGGCAGGGTATTTATAAAAAAATTTTAAAATGAAAAAAATAAATAACTACAGCCGACTTACCTAGTGGGGGCGATGGAAAAAGACAGAAAAAGGAGGAGGGACGGGCAGAAGAGGAATCCGGCGACGATGGAGCTGCAAAGGGGGTTAATTTGCGACTCACAATTAGCTATTTCAGATTAAGTAACGAAATTAAAAAAAAAATCAACCAAAAGGTCAAGACTGAGAACATAGCTTTAATCGAAAGTTCAAGACTTAAATTTCACCATATTTAACCAAAAATTAGCCGAAAAGGCTATTTATACTATTTAAAGAAAATATTCAACTATGTAGCCTGATATTAAAGTAATTACAATGAGATAAACCCATGTATTAATACACATTTACGATAAGGTAGCTTATTTGGAATGCACATTTACCATGTCTAATTCTTAACTAGTCATTATGAATCTTGCATATTAGATAAAATCATGTACAAATTCAACAGTAAATCTCAAAGCAAACAAAGTTACATGGCTTATTTAATCGATTCAAGACAGAAAAATTTCATAACATCCAAACTTAATCTCAAAAATAATGAACAAATATAATGGCTGCCCTGTTTTTCCATCTTAAATTACCTAATTTATGCATTTTGATTTGCTTTAAAATATTTTTGGTTGGATTTTACTTTCTGTTTTGGTTGGTTTCCTAACATACTTTCAAATTGTAATTTAGCCAAAGAGCCAAGTATTCAGCTCACCATTGCCCATAAGAAAGTTCAAACTACTATTACTAAGGAAATCAAACATAATATTCAGGTTCATAACCTGAATGTTCATCAGTCATTCAGTTCTATGATTATGCAATGCTATTATATGGGATATTGTTCAAATATCAATCAATGTCAATAGTTTAGTGCCAAGTTTTTCACAACATTATTGAGACAATACAATAAATGTACTAATCAATGTCCGATAACAGGAGAAAAAGACCAACATGTTCAAAATCAAGGTCTTGAAAAGATTTGTGTTTTTCAGACCAACAAATCGTGTTTCCCTACCATTACAATATAATAAATTTTAAACGGAAACAGAAAATAAATTTTAAAAAATAAACAGAAACAGAAACAAAAAATAAATTTTAAAAAAAACAGAGAGAGAGAAGGCCATAAACAGAAAATAAATTTTTAAAAAATATAATAAATAAAAAAAAATCCAAATTGCATGACTTACCTGATTATACTCGACGAAAGACGGAGAGGCTAAGATAGAAGGAGGAAACCGGCGACATACGCCCTGCAAATTTGTGACCCAATTTTAGGATTTTCGCCCAAATTAACAAAAATTCAAAACAAAATAATAATACCATCGACTTACCTTGATACAATCGTCAGAAAGCAAAGGAGAGACGGCCTGGAGGGGAATCCGGCGACGGTGGTCTGCGTGGGGGTTGAATTGAGACCCAAAGTTAGGGTTTTCGAACAAATTAACTAAACTAATAAAATCAAAAACAAACAAAAAAAAAAAATAGAACGGCATACCTGTGTGTAGCGTCGCTGCCGGAGACAGGTCGTCGGTGGGAACAACGGCGGAGTAGCGACCGTCCTTGCTGTTCTCCCTCTTCCCCCTTCTTCTCTGCTTCTATTCTTCCTTTTCCCCTTCTCAAAATATGAAATCCCGGTCGTAATTATTAGAAATCCCCTTCCGTTACAATTATTAGAAATCCCCTTCCAAAGTTGCATAAAATACGAACTGGAGGTAGTATATTTCTTTGCCAATATGTTATATTATATAAGATCAATTTAATGTATAATATTGTCATGAGTATTGATAACTTTAGACCAATTACCTTTAGAGGTGAAAAAAATGTATGTGGAGAAGGAAAATATTTTAAATGTTAGGAAATAATCAGCTAGATTTGGTATTTTTATTTTTATTTTTTTTTTGTTTTTTGAGGGAAAGATTTGGTATCTATATATTTTATCAAATATATTTCATTATTTATTATATAAAGTGGAAAAATATTGTGAAATTTTCTACTTTTAAGGTTAATGAAAATATTTTTTACATAGGATCAATAAAATCATATTATTTTTTGCAAAAAATATTATATAAGATCAATCAATATTATTTTAATATATACATAAACTGATCTTTTTATATATATATTATACGTAATATTTAAAGGAAATAGAAGATCTTAGATTATTTAGTAAATAATTGCTTTAATTAGGATAGTGGAAAAGGGCGGAAAAATTTTGCATGGGAAAGTGACACGTGGAACTTTTTTTTTTTAGTGCCCTCTGTTTTAGTATAGTTATAGATTTCTTCAAAGTATATACGAAGTATTAGCTAAGGGCTGATATAGATCCTGTAAAGTCTAAATTGTATTTTCAAAAAGAAAATATCAAATGAGCATAAGTATATTCTTGAGTACATATAACTTTAGCACATCAGATCATAAGAATTTACAAATAATTAGAGATATTTTCTTTTCTATTTTGACGAGCATAATATAGAAATTTCAAGGAAAAGAATCGCACATTGTTATCATGTTGAACTTGAGAAGGTTTGGCTTTACTTTAGGTGTATGATATTTGGCATGCCACTAGTAATTGTCACAAGTCACAAGAAAAAGAAAGAAGAGTGGAAATATATTTGGTGCACAAAACAAAGCGAATGAATACATGTACACTTGCTATAATAATTTCCCACTCTTTTTGGCACTGCCTTTTATCAAGAGTGATATTGGCCTAGTAGAATAGATAGACTTCTCACCACTTATAAAGCTCAAAGAGCGTTTCCACAATTGGCTACATGGGCTTACATAATTGAATCTAAAAGTTGAATTAGATATTATTATTATTATTATTATTATTATTATTATTATTATTATTATTATTATTATTATTATTATTATTATTATTATTATTTGGAATATTTCTCTTTTTCATATTCTTTAATATTTTTTGGTAATGAGAAAATTCTTACTTATGCAAATACATATAAATTACGAGGTATTAAATACAAAGCAAAGTGATATAATTATATTTCGAATGTAATGAGTAAGTTTTTTTCCTAGTACACAGACAAGTTTATTCGCACTATTGTTTTTGTAAATGTTTAATTTATTGATTGGGTATTAAAAATTATATTGATCAAGTATACTATATGAATTAAAACTGTGAAAAATTAAAATAAAACAAACATTAAGTAAATCCTTGAATACTTAAGTTATACTTGTATAGAATAGTCTTTCTATCTGTGAGAGTTAGGTATATATATGGATCACTAATATTAAAGATATAGTAAATATTATCCATTATTTCAATAAAAAAAACACAGGAAGGTCAAGAACCAATATCATCAAAGCAATGAAATAATATTATTTAGATTTATAGTTTATATTGACGTTTTTAATTATATTTTGCCTTAAATTCCAATTAAGAAAATATATACTTACAAACACAACGAATTTTAGGAGCAGCTAGCCATAGTGCATACCATATTACCATGCAGCCACTTGTAAAGAACAAACTAGTTCTAATTACCGACCGAGTAACCCCTATAACACTAATCGAGTACCTTTATAACATCGACAAAGTAACCCATATAATAATTGGCCACATCATGTAGCTAGCCACATATAACAATTTGTGTAATAAATATCATGTAGCTAGCTAAATTACATTCCTGGTTTCTATTTGGGGTATTCCAAAATTACATTCCTCCTTTTCATTTTTAGTAAGTTTTTTTTTCCAAATATCCCAAATCAACTCTCTTTTTCTGTTGTACATTTAATGCTTTCTCACTCCTACTATCCTAATCTCACTCTTATTTTCTCTCTCCATCATTTTTCTTAAGTTTGTACTTCCCATAACTAACCTAATGAATATGATTGGTTCTTAATTTTCAATTAGAAGCATATTATTGGTCCTTTTTTTTTTTTTTTGCAAAGGATTGATGACATGGCATCATTAATCATTAATATATCTTTGTTTTACTCAAAGACATCACTTAATGTTTTGTATTTCCCATTGAATTATTTCATTATTGTTATTTGTCTTATTCTTTCCTCCTTAATTCCCGTGTAATTTTACAAAAAGGAATGTAATTTAGAGACGGATGGAGTACACTGTAATATATAATTTCCTAACTCGATAAACAATTTTCTGTAAGAAATTTATTTCCGAAAAAAGAGAGAAATTAATTTAGGAGTTTGTATTATTAGAATTATTAGGAATGCAAAATTATTGGTTCATGTTAGTGCGAGCTTTTGAAAATTAAAAATATAAATTAAAATTTAGAGTCTAATGAAGATTGACTAATTTCTGTGTGATTGAGCAGCCCTTTATCTTTAAAATTATGATTGGTTTTGTTTTTATATAAGGAGGGGTCGAGGAGACAAATCAATCAATGAATCTATCTGATCTACTTCCTATTTCTTTGGTTGTCTTCTGATTCTTTTGGCAGTTTTCCTCCACTTTTTTTTGCTCTTTCCCATACTATTTACAACCTTTTTATTCATGTTCATCATACATTCATACTAATTCCATGTCTTTATATGCCTCTCATCTAAATGTTGCTACCACGTAATGTAACTTTTAAAAATTCTTTGATAATAAATTAATAAGCTCATTAGATGTAAAATTTTTATTTTACTAAAAAAAAAAAAAAAAAGAATGATGCGAAATGTTTACTTTACGGGCAAATATACAAGTTTATCTGCCACACTAAAAATTTTTGTTAATCTGGTAGCAATTTCTGTAAATATATTAAAAAAAAACGTGGTCATTTATTTGGTACTTTTGGGAGCTGTCCAATTACGGTTTGCAACTTGTATTTAGGAAATTACACTTGTACCCTTTAACTAGTACATGAAAAGACATATGACCCTTCCACGGATAATTAAAAAGACAATTATATCCCCAAATTTGTTTACCTGGAAGATAAACCGGGCACAACTCTTGTTTTACTACCTAAAAAAAAAACGCCCTCACTATGAATAGAATGCGTTTTGTAATTATAATAGGTACATCTATACTAATTTATTAAAAGGCGTTTATAAAAACGTCCATGCGCCACGTAGATTCTTCCAAATTACGCCACATCACTTCACTAACAATTCATGACGCCACGTCAGTTCACAAACACTTGATGGCGCCACGTCACCTACCCAGCATCTCAACATGCCACATCATCACTAAATATAAAAAACATGAAGATAGGAGGATTCGAACCCCAAACTACTTACTTCAAAATTGACTATTTGGTCATCTAAGCTAATTATCAAACATGTTATAAATATGAAAAAGAAGTACATATAACTATAAACCACATGGTTTAATTACTTAAAAAAAACATATATCCATTCAAAGAAAATTAAATCATAAATTATAATAATCTGGGGAATTGCCCGAGCCTAAAAACTATTATCAAATTAAAAAAAAATACAAAGTACAAACTAACAAACTAGCAATACGAAGCATTGATCGGGGCTCACACTAGTTATTAATTGAAATCTATATTATTGTCTTTATTGAACGCATAGGATGTATATTTCTAATCTATATAAGAAATTTTAAGAGTATGTACTTTGCAATGAACACATGTACACATCCTCTTGAGTCCTTGACACCCAACCCATTGCAAATTGCAATCTCCTCGCTTAACTAGAGTATGTGTACTAACGCTAATGCATGTATAGGAATATATCCTAATTCATATGAAAGATGCGTAAAAAGTAGTAGGTTGTGGGATTTTTGAAGGGTTTGGAGATTTGTGGTTAAAAGATTTTGATTAATATTGCCACATCATATCATTTGTCACATAATTGGTAATAATGAGCAATTAATAAAATTTAGAAGAAAAAAGAGTTACTTTGTTGTAAATTGAACTACCATTATCATGGATCATACATCGACATATGATTTGTTTTACTAATTAATATAAAAAGGTAAAAGCTAACGAATGCCCTAAAGCGTTGGATAAAATAACTAAAAGTGGAAATATTAAATTAAAATGAATACGGATTATTAATTATACTAATCAACGCGTGATTTTGACATGCATTTCTAAATTAATACTCCGTACTACTTTTTGAATTTTTTTAAGGGTAATGTTATATAAAGCCCTAAGGGTTATATATAAGCATTTAATATACTCTTGAAAATTGTATAAAATTAGGAATTCATGACAAAAACACGCGTAAATCAGTGTTATTAGTGTTTATATTTTGATGATTTCTTAACTTTTTACGATTTTCAAGTGTAAATTTAATGCTTATATGTAGCCCTATCTACAAATTCATTATTACCCCATTAATTACCATTATTTAATCATTTATCATGTGTGGTGATGGTCACTTCACTAATACGGTTTAACCTTTTAAAAAAAAAAAAAATAATACTCGTAATAAAAAAATTGCTTGAACGGCCTGATTTGAAGCATTTTACCATTCCCTTTGGGGAATCTTATACGGAGTATAATTAAGGTGTCTCGAAGGATTTCAATAGGCTCAGTCAAAATCAAACCAAGTCTTTTTTTTTTTTTTTTTTTTTGACAAGAAAATCAAACCAAGTCGAAAAACCACATAATTTGGCAATTCCTCGTGAAAAACGTGATTATGTCATACTTTAATTCGACAAAATTACACTAAAGTTATTGTCATAATAATAAGGTAAAAATAAGCAATTTCATTCATAAATCATGTTTGTTGCATTC